AAGAAATAGTAACAGTAAAAGAAGAACAAGAAGAATTAAGGAAGAAACTACAATTGTAAAAGTAAAAATTCTAACTTATAATTAATTTAATTAAAATACTGATTTAAGAATTTAGAAGAGATTGGTGGATTAATGATATAGAAGAAGAAAACAGAAAACTTCGAGAGAAATATAAAATATATAAAGAAAGTGAACCTAGTTAGGAAGAAGCTTTGGACAACAATCAAGATTGGGAAAAACAAAAAATTGATGTTACTAAAGAAAATCAAGATGAAGAAGAAGAAAGAAATAGTATTATCAATGAAGATAGTATGTGAACGATTGGGTGGGATGAAAATTTAATGGATATAGAAGAAATATCAATTAGATTTAATACAGAAACAAATAAAGATAAGGATAATCTTGAATACTTAAATGAAGTTGCTTATAGAGAATAAAAACAAGAACAAGATGAAGAATTTAGTAGTATGGAGGATATAGAAGATGAAGTCCAACTAAATATTGAAGAAATAGAAGAAAGTAATAGATCAGAGGTTTTTTGGTTCGAAAGAAAAGAATATAATCATAGTCAAACAGAGGCAAGGGCTCATTATGAAGCTCTGATAAAATTATTAGATGTCGAAAATTTCATTTAGTTTAATTGTATTTCCTTTAATTTATATATAAATAAATAAATAAATAAATTCTCTTATCTTTCTTTTTTTTTTTTTTTTTTAAAAGATAAATAGTTACTCATAATAAAATTAGTTAGTAGTATAATATCTTAAGTATAACTTAAATAATAATATATATAGGTTATAATTACAATATCCATCATACTCATAATGATAATTGTTATAGCCTTAATTTCTCAAATTAAAATTTTCTACATCTCAATTATAACTGATTATATTTTATTTTTTTCATTCCCCTGATGATTTGAATAGATAGCCTTTACTTGAGGTCAGAGCTTGTTGATATAATGAAATCTTATGTTATTTACGATTTCATTATTTTTATTTTCCAAACCAAAAATCTTGGGTTCAGAGGCTCAATTGCCTAACATAGAGCACCATTGCTTTTAAAACTTCAAATAGGCCATATGATTAGCACCAGACAAACTTTCATAGTACTGATGACATGCTGAACTATTTTCTTTACTTGAGAATTGAAGTTACGAATAGTTACAGTTCTTAGTAGATTATCAGCTGCTATATCATTATCAAGATCAGATTGAAAAGATTGTTCTTGAGAATATTCTTTAGGATTGGATGGTAAATCCACAATTTGAGCAATTCCATCTAATAACATGTTCTCAAATTTTTCTTTCTTTTGTTTTTTTTTTTTTTTTTATTGATTCATCTTGCTTAATGAGTGGAATTAGTACGTTTTCTGAAGAAAATAATATCTTCTGATTCAAAAGCCTTATCTGATACTTTGCTATAATATCATTGCTCATTTTTTTGCAATTCTTGAGGCTTTTTACTTTGGAATTTTTTATAAACGCGTATAAAATTAAAACAGAACTAATGTACATTTTCTTTTATATTGAGAATATTAAGTAGTATCGATGCAGAATGGCATGTAGACTGATATAGAAGACTTGTAACAGTAGTAGTAGAAATTCAAATAGCTATAGTGGATGGAGCCTGAATTGAAAACTAATAGATTTGATATATTAACTCTTGTATTATAATGCGAAATTATAAATTTTGCTTTCAACGAGAATAGCTGCTTGTATCGGTATAGACTGAGCAGGAACTTAGATATCGTGACAGCCCAAATACTTTTTTCTGACTTGGTTCTTAATTTGAGTAATTTTTTATTCAATAACGTATTCCAAAATTTTCTTTTCTTCTGTTTGTAAATTGTTATGTTTAATATGTAGAAGTATTACATTTTTTTTAAGAGAAGTAAGGTCTTTTGATTCTTAAGCCCTCAGTCATTTTTGAAATTCTTGACATTATATGTGTACTTGTATTATTATATAGAAATTAGTAATACAACTAAATTAGTATAGATAATAGTATTGGTAAGTAATATAATATTGCTTTGTTTAGCAACGTAAAAAGCTGATATATATATAATTTTTTGTTAAAGCAGATGTTAATGTTGTAAAAAAAAAAAAATTAAAGCTATATCCTTTATATACTACTCCTCTGTTTTATGTAATTCTTCCAGAATCATATCTTAAAATTGGATCAGTAGTTTAAAATCCCTTTTGACTATTATATTCAATGCTTAAATATAAGGTTGTTTGATATTTTTTATAGGTAATTTTTTATGAACTTTATCTCAGTTTGAGAAATTTTTTCAAGTGCACTAGCACTATTCGATTTACGTAATCATATCTGAGATTCGTTATCAATGATCAAACCTTTTATTCATTCTTACTTTGGTCAGTTTTTTTTTTTTTTTGACATTGCACTTCAACA